TTTTTGGGATCGTGAAGGTATAGTATCGTGTTGTCTGCAAAAAGGGATAGAAACTATGTTCTTTTAAGTTAGTGTTTTAAAAATTATAAAGAGATTATGTTACCTTCTGTATTACCCTATAATTTGTGAATGTTGTAATTAGAAGTAATATATTCATGACTGGTTGGATTTTTACTGTTAATTTTTTCTTGTTTTATTACAGGTTTTGCAAAAGGCATCAGATTAAATCAAGTTCAAATATTCCCTGTGTCCCTAAAGACTTACTGATGATGTCTGAATTTGTTCTCCCAAGATTTATTTTTTGTCTTATTCAGTACTTAAGAGAAGGCTATAATGAACCAGGTATGTTTTACACATTTTTAGTATACTTCCTATGTTCCAAATTTGTGAAGTTTAATATTTTTAGATATCATTTGTTTTTGCCAAACATTTAAAAAAATAGATGAGTATCAAATACAGAGACTTAATAAAAACAAAGTAAATGATACAACTTTATAACTACTTTGGAATTTACATGGTTTGATAGTTTTGCCTTGGATACTTTAGACCAAACTTACTTGAATTTTTGCAGATTAGGAAGTAATCCACTTTTTGGGGTTAAAGTGACATTTTTTTTTTTTTTTTGGTTGATGGGGCTTGAACTTGGGGCCTGGACACTGTCCCTGAGTTCTTTTGCTCAAGGCTAGTGCTTAGTGCTGTGCCATTTTGAGCCACAGCTCCACTTCACTTTTTGAAGGGTTAGTTGGAGATAATAGTCTCACAGGAACTCTTCTGGCTGGGCTGGCTTTGAAAATGATCCTCAGAGCTCAGCTCCTGAGTTGCTAGGATTACAGGCGTGAGCCACTGGTGCCTGGCTTAAAGTGGCTTTAATTTGCATTTATATTATGGTAGAGGAGAATTAAGAAGCCTGGAAATATTTGAAATTAACTTAATTTTTTTTTTTTTTGTGGTGAGACTGAGGCTTTAACTATGGGTTAGGGTGGTGTCCCTTAGCTGTTTTTGCTCTAGGATGGCACTTTACCACTGGACCACAGCTCCACTTCCAACTCTTTTGGTAGTTAATTGGAAGTCAGTCTCACAGACTTTCCTGTCCAGGCTGGTTTCAAATCATGATCCTCTACTTCTGGATCTTTGCTGATTAATAGGAGATAGTATTCTCATGGACTTTGGTGTTCTAGCTGGTTTTGAACTTCAGTCTTCAGATTTCAGCCTCCTAAGTTACTGATTACAGTGACTATCAGCTTTAGTTTAACTTTGATTTTTAGAAGCTAAACTGCTGGTGAACTAGTTTCATTGCCTTCCTCCTTCCCTTGTCTCTGTTCTTCCTCCTCCTCTTCTTCTTCCCACTTTTTCCCTATCTCCTCTTCTTCTTCCCCCCTTCTTCCTGTCCTCCTCCTCTTCCTTCTTCTCTCTTTCTGTCTGTCTCTGTCTCTCAGAAGTTCTTGTGTCTTAGAAGTCTGTCTCTATGTGTGTGTATATGTATACATATATGTATATGTATACATGTGTTTATATATGGGCGTGGTGACTCATCCTTAGAATCCTTGTTTCTCTGGAGGCAAAGATTGGGAGGACCATGCTTTGAATTCTTGCCATATTGTAGGCAAACATAGGAGGATTGTGGTGTAAGACTGGCCCCAGTCAAAAGTTGCCATCCCATCTGAAAAATAACCAAAGCAAAAATGAGTTGGGGCCATGGCTAAAGAGCTTTAATGCTTGCTTAGCCAGGTCAAGGATGAGTTCAAACCTAAGT